AGTTAGTTGCATTAGTATCGTCTAAAATGGACAACGACATAATCTTCTGCAAGTACAAATTTCAACAACCTTACATCAATGGTCTTCCACTTGTGTCCCTTCATTTTTGGCGGCCCGAAAACAAATCCTCATTTTAACTGATATGCGACTCGCTGACTGTTTTGAAGGCCTCGGCTACAAGGCAATTGCACACAATTCTTAACGAGATGGATTCAGAGTATGAAGAAGTAGTGTCTTACAGAGAGGTGCGCTGGGTCAGAAGGGGACGATTTCTAAAACGAGAATTTGAAATAAGAGCTTTTCTCCAGGATGAATATCTTGAAGCCAAAACCGGGGGACAGACTTTTTGTGATAAATAAATAAATACGTGCCAGTAATGTTTCACAGAAAATAAAATTGCCCTGTAGAGTTAATGTTGAAGACCACGATTATACATTAAACAAGACGATTTCTGACTAACACAAACTTTATAAGCTTTTAAATTGTACATTTCTTCACAAAATAATTACTTTTTGTACGAGTTTCTAGCTTACAGACAAGATCTTCTGGGTCGAATCCTAGGATCCATTTGTTATTCACGTCGCGCCTTCACGCGCAACCGTTGGAAGCAAACAGCTTTCTGTTCCGCGAAAAGCGTGTGCGCTAGCCGCCCTATTGTAGAAGCCACAGCAATAGACGCATGGATGGCCATGCGCGATTGTCTGTGAATGTCCCGCATGTTGCCAAAATTACTTATCGCTACATTACTTCGGGGATCACGTTTGGTACAAAATTGCAAAACGGGTATGCGATGTGGTCAGTATGGATCTTTCCTATCGCTCTTGCTCCTACCAAGGGTCACGTTTGCGCGCGAAATGTTCTTGAGATTCCTAGCCCAAGACTTTTCTTTCCCAATGGTGCATTAGTGGTAATGGTGCATTTTGGACGCGTTTTACATTAGTTCATTTCATGATTTTGGTTGTTACTGCTGCTACTAGTGGTGATGATGAAATACAATTATTTTAGCCTATTTCAAAATTCACAATCCTGGTAATATATACGCACACTCTTATTCACGACACACTCGCAGACTCATTGTTGCAGGGCAGAGTATTGCACACACCGTGAGAGACGGAAAGAGACTTCCTTCCAGAATGGCCAACTTTACCCAAAGGATACTTAAATGTACATTTTGATTCAACAAACCTAGCATCAAATAAAAATAAATCTAAAAACATCATAAGTGATGCCAAGAATTGGCTGAACTAGTATACTTTCGATAACACGCGAAATTCATAAAATTAATTTGCAACTAGCGTCAGAAGAAGACAGAAAATTGATATTCCCCTCGGTCGCCGCCCTGCACACTGTCAACAGACCCTCGCCCTTCTGCGGTGTATGCTGCTGGCTGGTTGCCGTGCGATAACAACCAAGGCCCTATGTCGAAGCATAGAGCCAACGAGTAAACTCAGTAAAAGAGCTTAAGAGGGTGACGTGTGGACTGCGTGGGAGAGCATCAGACGTCTGAGAGAGCGCTTGTTGGGTGCTCCTTGATTTCAAAATGATTCTATATGCTTCGATATTGGTACAATACCTTTAATTTCGAATGTCATCAAAAAGGAAATGTATATTCTTAACACATTTTTTTTTATTGTCGAGGTGATGCAACCTAAGCAGGAGCCGCCAGTGTTAGAAACTAGTTTCGTAATAATGGCGCATCGCCATTCATCCGTTTATGTTCGTGTCTCCGGCAATAGTCAATCCGCGATTCAAGGCAACAGCTCGATTTTTTTCAATTAAGAAATAATCGTACGCAGAACAGTCAAGGTCTTGCATCGCAGACACACACACACACACACACGGTTTGTGTGTCACGTCCCCTGCGCGAGCGGTGACGTCGGCGGTCGTTCGGGGACTTAAAGACGGCTGAGCATGCGAAGGTCGCCCGCAGACGCACGTACGACACGCCGCGGATATCCGGCGCGCTGGCCAGAGCTGCCGCAACGGGCGGAGGAGGAGGAGGAGGAGGAGGAGGAGAGGGGCGGGGAGGGGAGGGGAGCAGGTGATGGCCACGGCCCCCTGCGGCCGCCTCCGCCAACGCCGGAAGCGAACCGGCCCGACCGGCGGAAGGCTTCTTCGGAGCCCCCGACCAGCGTCTCAGGCGGGCGTGGAAAAGCTGCCGTGAGTAGGGGTCGCCGAAAGAGTATTCAAGCTGGGGCGCGCGGTAGGGTGCAAACTGACGGGGGAGGGGCACCGGAAATGGACCTCGCGAGACAGTTTGATGTTCCGTGCAGGAAAAGTTATATTTCTCCTCGCCAGAGATTTAATTCACATTAGGGACCTGAGATTTTCTTTCGCGCTCTGAAATTCTCAAACAAGGAAATGTTGACAAGACTATACATACGACTCAGACTATGGTATAAGCGATGATAGTCCACATTACACTAGTCAATTCTTTGATTCTTCGATCTCTGTGAAAAGTATAAAAAAAAAAAGATCGATAGCTGAAAGAGGGAAGTTGGAGTGACTGACATGTTTGGAAAGGGAAAACGACAAACACGTCTAAACAACTTGACAATAATATCGATGGAATCAAAGTTTTATAAGAAACCCACTTCTGGAGAACTCTTGACATTTTAATATTTCTACAAAATAGTCCCAGTGGTATGGTGTTAGCAAACTGGCTTCCGAAACCCACGTTCCTGTTTTCAATCTCCACTGAGGGGCAATCATTTTCAAAAGAATGAAGTCCTCAGGAAGCCACGACACGCTTTAGGTATGCAAAAGAAGCCTCTACAAATGCTCATCAAAATTAAATCTTCAGGCAATTGCAGTACTAATCAGATTTCCTACTCGTTCATTCAAGGTAAGGATAAATATGTCTACGTTAATCTTTGTGTCGATCCCTAGAGGTACGAAGAGGAGTAAAAAATTAGTTGGTACAACTGGGCACCCAAACGGTGTCAAATGCGAAAATGCTGATTATAGCCCTGTCGGGGAAGGTAATTAGACAAGTTTCCTAAAGTATATACATTACTTCTAGACGTTGACAACTACAACAGTAGCAGCAAACTGTTTGTATAAATTTACCCTTTCTCGAACTTTACAAGCATATTGATGTAGACTCAAGTAGACCAGTCCCAACGGCCGTCGCCTTTCCTACTAGCTTTCCGACGACCCAACTCTCGAATGTTCCAACGGCCGAAATGCGATGCTGGGCCTCATCATTTCTCGCTTTTGACGCCGTGACCTGGCTGGGCTCGCTCCTCCTCTCTTCCCTTCTGTGCACAGGGGTTCCAACACTACCCATTTTCACTCGAAAAAGAGGTGTGCATTGCCCTGAGATACTTCAGCTAGGCGAACTCGACCTATATTTATTATTATATTATTATATTTTCCCCTTTGAAAATCACAAGTAGTCATAACATAAGTAATCCGATTACTTGAGTCAGCCCGACTTACTTCCGGATTTTTGTGTCGAAAGCTACTTTTGTATGGTGAAAGTAACGGTTTGAAATTTGCTCCAGAATGGATTTCCATTCTTATCACCGGTGAAGAGCAATATTAGGTCTGTTAGCCAGAATTACTAATTAATTTTGATATTTCAGTTCCAAAAATTTTGCCTTCGTCAATCTCATTGACAGAGGAGATAGGTCATAGTTAAAACACGGATAAATGATTCCGTATTATATTCTTCTAATTATTGTCGTAATTATACAATAATTATTGTTATTATTATCATTATTATTGTATTATAATTATTTTATTATTATAAATATATTATTGTATTATATCATAATAATTACATTAATATATAATATTAATATATAATCAATTATTGATAGAGTTCCTATCATTGTTAAGCCGCATTTCGACGTCCGTATTTGACCATGGTCGGGGGCGCGGT